CTTAAAACTCATGCTGGGCGCGTGTGCGTGCGTGCCCAAGATCCCGAGAAGAGAATGGAGGAGAAGGGATTGCGGCGTGACCATCCCCCCTGGGGGGTGATTTCTCGCTTTCTGTCTCTATGTCTCTCTCTGTCTGTCTGGCGAGCGTACGCGCCCTACAGTGAAAATCTCTCCAAAAAAAAAAAAAAAGCAGGGTTGGCTCCGAGGTGCCATGGTAGCACACTGCTCAAGAGAAGCCTGATCCTACATGGTGACCACAGTTTGAATCCCAGCTGGTCAGCCTGATACCTGGGCACACCCACCAGTACAAAGGATCTGGACCCTGTGCAGGGTGCTCACTTCCCCCTCTCTCCCTCTCTCCCCTCTCCCACTTGCAAGTGTAGGTGCACGTATTCTATCATGAATAAAGAAAAAAGAGATTGCTTAAATATTATGATCACATACCTCTCTGTCTCTCTCTATAAGCACACATGTCCTCTAGCAAAGAGGGGAAAAAAGCAGATGTGGGCCAGCCACAGTGGCATGGCATTAATGCAATGTTCTGCAATGCCGAAGCCACATGAGAAGACCCGAGTTCACATCCCAGGGTCTCCCTGTACACGTTGGCCATGGGCCCCTGTGTTCCTGGCCAGCTGAGACTTGGGGCAGATTGTGGTGTGAAGACCCTGTCAAGAGTGTCTGTCTGAATCTTTTTTTTTTTTTTTTTTTTTGTGCCAGAGGGTACATGCACTAGACGGAGAGGGATGTGGGATGTGATCGTGACACAGCTCCTTCTCAATTTCTCCAACTTGTTAGGACTTGGGACATGCATGTGTCTGCCTTGTTTTATAAACCTCTGGGGCTGGGATTTGAACCAGTTAACCAGGTGGGATCTGACTCCCTTAACCCCTAGGTCACAGGACTGGCCTACTCTCTCTGTCTCTCTCATGGAAGAAATAAATGATTTTTTTCTAAAAAGCTGATGAGGGGGACCAGCAGGTAGCATGGTTGTTAAAGTGCTAGACCCTCCCACAGGGCCAACCATAGTCCCTGGCCTTGTAGCTTGCTTTCTCTCTCTTTCTCTCTCTCTGTCTGCCTGTCTCTGGTTAAATTAAAATAAATGAATGAATAAATAAAATTAAATAAATAATTACTTTTTTTAAAGCTGATGAGGATATATACTTTATAAACTGTATGATGCTTATGTTGCTTATTGCGGAGACAAGCTGTGAATGACCTAACAAAACTTACTGCTGTGGCTGGTAGAAAATGGAAGGAAGTGCAAGGAGTAGATAGGAGTGGAGAAAACCAAGTCCTGATTCCACTGGACCATTGAATCAGTGCCCACTGAGCTCTTAGTCCGAGCTCCCCGGTAAGACCACCTTCCCCATTCCCTCTGTTCTTACACTCCAGACATGAGAGTCCCAAGCCAGGAACCAGCCTGTGAAGATGGGTGGCTCGAACCCCTGTTTAAGGATCAGGATTGGTGTGTCGGCATCCCGGCCACTGGGGTGAGTGCTGAGGTACTCCTGGGCGGTAGCAAGGGCCTTCTCCTTTTCTGTGGCGTTGGCCTCAGCCCCAATCCACAGGAACACCTGTGTGGTACAGAATTAATTTTGTTAATGTGCTTGTACTAAGGATTAAGTAAAGGTCATACACGCTACCCAATTTCCCTCTCAGCCATTTACAGCCTCAGAAAACTTCCTCAGCCTAATTGGTTCAGCAGAAAAAGGTTTTCCCAGAATCAGCTTGACATTCATGATTTTAATCGCTACGTGTATCTCTCACATCTGCATCTCCAACTTCAGTTTCCTGAATCCACCTTCTTGCAAAACACTTTCGTGCCCTCAGAGGCTCGTGTTGGCTGGTTTAGAGCCTGTTGCTATTGATTCCAGGATGAAGAAGAGCCTGGTGACAGGATGTCTTGTTCCCCAAAGCAAGGTGGGGAAGTGCCTCGGGTGGTGAGATTGAAACCTCATTCTGTTCTCTCCAACCTGGCAAAAAGCAGGTTCTTCGTCTGGTCAGCACTGACAGATGTTTGATTGACGTGGGGATGGTCCAGAGCTACCCTGGGCTTATTCTGGGAGGGGATACTGGGCTAAGGTAGCCTAAACGGTGGGCTCTTCATGACTTGCTCTGCGCCCATGGCCATGTAGTACCTGGTCCCAGGTATCGAGGAGCATCACGTCCCCTGGGCTCAGGTCATCCTGGGTGAAGTCTGCGATCTCGGTGACAAGGAACCGGCCAGTCTTGTTGGAACACTCAAAGAGGCGGGGCTGTACATCTAGGATTTCCTGCTGTAGTCTGCAAATAGAGTCCATTTAGAGCGGCTGAGCTGTCTGGAAACCACGTTTTTCAAACCGAACAGGCTCTCGGGCTTCGTGCAGTTCCCAAGCCCGGGAGGCAGAGGGAGCCACGGAGCGAGGCACGCTGCATTCTCATACCTTTTGTCATTGGCGTAGGGAGTTTTCCCTCCCAGCAGGTCCCAAAACTCAGTGGGTTCCTGGCCCTCGGCCACAGTGTCCTCGGTGCCGTCACAGAGAAGCCCAGCCAGCTCCTTGGCCATGGCCCGCTCGTCCCCACTAGAGCCCTGAGAGTGGGTGAGGAGAGCACAGTGGTTAGTGGCACATGGCTCGCTGAATGGGAAGGAGAGGCTCCTGAGATGACTGCGGCAGCAGGGCCAGGCTCAGACACCAAGTCTCAGGATGCCAGGAAAGGGATGGATGCTGGGGAGAGGGGAAGGAAGCCAGTGGGGTGGCAGGGAGCAGGACTAGACTCTGAAGCCCAGGGCGGGTGTGGACAAGAATCACCTCTTTCAGCTTCAGCTGGAGTCTTACCACCTGCTTGTGATTCTCCTCATTTTTATTTTATGTATTTATGTATTTATTTATTTTTCTAATAAAAAATTGTATCTACTTAGAAGCACTCAGGATGTCAACAAAGGGCGCATGTGCTTGCCGGAGGGAGACAGAGAAGAAAAGTGAGAAATCACCCCTGGGGTGGCCATGCTCAATCCCTTGTCCTCCAGTCTCCTCTCAGGATCTTGGACATGCACACATGTCTGGCGTGAGTTTCAAGCCTCTAGGTCCAGGGCTTGAACCTTGGCCGGCCATGTGGGAATCTTGTGCTTTAATCATGACACTTTTTTGTTTTTTGGAGAGGTTTTTGCTATAGGCACATGAGCTCGCCAGAAAGAGAGAGAGAGAGACAGAGAGACAGAAAGTGAGAAATCACCCCCCAGGGGGGATGGCCACACTGCAATCTCTTCTCCTCTCAGGATCTTGGGCACGCACGCACACGTGTCCAGTGTGAGTTTAAGCCACCGGGTCTGGGACTCGAAACATGGTCAACTACATGGGAGCCCAGCGACATAGCGATTAAGCCAACTGCTGGTCCCTTTTTTTTTTTTTTTTTTTTTTTTTAAATAATTATCTATTTGAAACTTTTTTTTGAAGAGAAAAATTTATTGAAAAACTCGGGGCCGGCAGGTGGCATGATGGTTAAGGGCCCTGGACTCCCACATGGCTAATGGTGGTTGGAGTCCCAACCCTGGTGGCTTACTTTCTCTCTGTCTCTCTCTGGTCAAATTAAAGTAAAATAAATGAGTAAATAAATAAAGTTAAATGAAAAAAATTCCTTTAAAAAGTATGTACTGTTAAATTCACTCTTCTTGGCATACCGGTTCTGTGAGTCTGGATAAACACAGTCATGTGACCACCGCCACAATAAAGATACACACAATAGTTTCCTCCTCAGCCCCCAGAGCTTCCCTGGGGCCACCGGTTTAGAGTCACACCTTTGCCTCTGACAAACCACTACTCTGCTCTCCCTCACTGTGGTTTGGCCTTTTTCTGAAGGTCAGATATGAAATCAGGTTGTTTAGCCTGAGAGTCTGCCTCCTTCACCTAGTTTAGCACAATGAACCTGCCATCTGCCCACGTTGCTGTCTGTGGTCCATCCCTTTTTCTGGCTGAGTAGTATTCCATTGCACAGATGTACTACTGCTTGTTTATCTCTTTTCTACTTTGGTTGTTTCTAGTATTTGGTGATTATGAATAAAGGTGCTACACACACTCTTGTATAGGTGTTTGTGTGAAGATGCTTTATTGTCATTTCACTCGGGTGAATACCCAGGAGTAGCATTGCTGGGTCAGGTGGTAATGTGTGTAACTTTATAAGAAACTGTCGAGTTGTTTTCCAAAGATCCTGCCAGCTCGCAGTCCTCCTAGTAACGCACGGAAGTTCCTGTTGTTTCACATCCCTGCCTGCATTTTGATATTGCCCATTTTTTTTCGCTACTCTAAGAGATACATGGTGGTATCTCATTGTTGCATTTCCCTAGGGATAAATGATGGTAAGCATCTTTCCTTATTCAATCCCCTTCTGTAAAACCGTTTTTGTGCTCTACGCATTATGAATCAACATCACATTTTAGTGTTTTTGTTCTGTGTTTTGCCTGTCCTGTTAACATCCAGGAAACTCGTGTGATGAGAACAGCTTACCCAGCCGCCATCTGTGTGGAGGTTTATGGGATGTCCCTGGGTGTAAGCAGGGCTGTCCGTGCATCTCTGCTTGGAGGCATGATTGTAGGGAATGTCTGTGTTCCCTGGGAAGTCGTTAGGAAAAAGCCTTCTCGTTTTGCAAACCACTCCAGCCTGCTCTTCAGGTCTTTTGACCTTGCTGACCAGAGGTGGGGACACAGCGCTGGGCGGCGAGGGCCTGGCCATCTTACCTTGCCATACCATAGGTAGTGCTCTGTCTGTGTTCGCAGCAGAAAGACATCGTTGGAGTTGAGGGAGGAGGTGAAGGCTGGGACCTCTACCGCCTTGGTGTTGGATTTGTCATTTCCTTGAATCTGGAAGAGTCTTACCGGAGGGTCAGGCTCGGCGTTTCCCTTCCTGGAAGTGCCCCCCTGGAGGGAGGCAGAGTGTGGACCTAGGAGCCCCAGGGGAGCAGAGCACTAGCTAGCTGTTGTGGGGAGTGGGGGTGCATCGACGCCTCTGCCACTGAGGAGCTCTGGGCTAGCTGGGAAGGGGCGGGGTGAGCTGGAGTTAGGGTGCTCACATTAGCTTTCATTCTGAGAGCTGGCCTGTATGCCAGGCTCTGTGACTGGTGCCGTACCCACATGGTTTATTTCATTGATCTTAGTCATAGCTCTCCTCCCATAGCCAGGGCAGAAAACCGAGCTTAGACACCGGCTGACCAACGGCAAGGTTAGGACTTGATCCCAGATGTGTCAGGTATCAAGCATGTGCTTCAGCCAGGACTTTGTGGACAGAGTGGGACTACCCCTAAGGGGCACATTGGCGGGAGTGGGAGGGGGTCTGGTGTGGCACATGGGAGGGTGGTGAGGACGCACCTGCACAGGTGATAGGGGTCAGATCATGAAAGCCCTCGAACACTGACAAGACAGTGATTGGGACAAGGGCTAGACAGCAGTGGGGATTTCCTTGAGTACCTGAGTCACCCCCTTCTTGTCTCTAACCCAAGGCCTGTTCCCCACCCCTCCTCTCCTTTCTGGTAGCCCCCTGCTGGTGTGTCTGTTCTGACATTTGCGCTCACGGTGTAATTTTATCCAAGGGTCCTCACCTCAAAGATAACCAGCTTCCCTTTGAAGATGGCCATGAAGTGGCGTGGCTCCTTCCCCATGCTGACTCGAACCTGCACCGCAGCCCCTTTAAACTGCCCGTCGACCTCTACCGCCTGGTACGCTGAGGCTGCCAGCTCGTCCTGTGAGGCATGGCGGCCCTGCAGTGGTGAGAGGGCAGTGACAGGCCCCTGCCCCTCTGTCCCAGCCCTGTGGCCAGAGGAAGCATCAGGACTCAGAGGAGCTGGCGCTAGGCCTACCTGCCAGATGTACAGGATGTAGTGTGGCTTCCTGCTCACCTCGTACGTGTAGAGAACCAGGTAGCAGTCTCCCCCATAAAAGAAGCCATACCACTGACGCTCCACGGGGACCAGCTCCAGGTTCTCAATTCTCCAGACCTGGGTGTAGGAGAGACAGTCCCCAGAGATGGGGGTCCTGGTTAAAGAGACAGCGACCCGAAGGAACAGGGATGCCTGACAGAATCCAGGTGGCAAGGCACTAACATCCTCCCTACGCAGGTTCTCCTCTGCCAGTGGTGAGGGCTCATCGCATTTGCATGATTTGAATTCTGAGAACAGAGTCATCCTGGCCTGGTGTATTCCATCATAGCTTGCTCTCTGCAGGCTGAGAAATGGTTTGAATATGTCTGCCAGGTGACTTTTTTTTTTTTTTGTTTATTTGTTTTTTATAAATTACTTTCTTTCTTTTCTTTTTATAAATTTCTTTTTTTCTTTTTTTTTTTTTTTTTTTTGCTATCGGGTGCATGTGCTAGCCAGAGAGACAGAGAGAGACAGGAAGGGAGAAATCACCCCTCAGGGGGGATGGCCACACTGTGATCCTTTCTCCTCCATTCTCTTCTTGGGATTTTGGGCATGCATATACAACACGCCTGGTGTGAATTTCAAGATGCTGGATCCAGGACTCAAACCATGATTGACCACATGGGAGTCCAGTGCTTTAGTCACTATGCCACCTGCTGGTCTCCCATTTGATTCTTTTTATTCATTATAGAGCATGTGTGCATGTATAAGAGAGAAATGAGCACCTTTCACAGGGTCTTGTCACACTGAGCTCCCCTTCTTCCAGTCCTCTGACCCACTGGACCTGGGGCACTTGCACATGCCTGCATGTTTCAAGCTGCCTGGACTGAGGATTTGAACCATGGTCACCATGTGGGGTCTGGCCTTACCACTGTGCTATGAAGCCACCCCCCAGAAGAGTTATTGCTAGCACATTTGGGAATGTGTCTTTCCCTTCCCTGAAACATGGTGGGAGAACGCTGTAGACTTACAGCCCTCCTAGAGAAAACTTCTGAAGTGTCAGAGGGGAAAAGCAAAGCAAAGCAGACCCAGAATCAGCTGCCCTGCCCTCTCAGGAGTGGACTAGCCGAGAGGGCCAGTGCTACCTGTCCTGACGTTCGAATCCCTGGGCTTACCTCAACTTTCCCGCTGCCGTCATCCACCATTCTTTCCTGGGCAGCCACCTCTGGCTTGGTGTGTAGCAGAGTCACATCAAACTTATCCTGGAAAACTTTAGCTGCACAGAGGGGTTGGGAAAAGCCGGGTGAGTGAGAAGCCTCTATTCCTCTCTAGACTCTTTCTGGGATAATCGGAGGCAGTCTCACCAGTCTTCCCAATGCTGAAGGTTTTCCCCAGGCCCGTGGTCTGGTCTTTCACAGTCCACTTCTGGAACAGCTGCTTGAACATGGCTGACTCAGCACCGTCATTGACAGTCTCCACATTGGTGCTGCTGGGGTAGCCTTTCATCTGGATGAAGCTCTACAGACCCACCCCCCAAAGGCCGCTCAGTTGGGGGGATACACCAAGTTCTTTGCTTATTTAGTAATTCACTCCTTTAAGCCAATTGTTAGGAGTCAGAGTCTATTTTTTTTTTTTTTAATTTGCCAGAGGACACATGTACTTGTCAGAAAGAGAGGGAGAAGGAGAGAGAGAGAGAGCACCTTCTAGTGGGGCATAGTCATGCTGCAATCCCTTCTCTTCCATTTCCTCATCCAGCCAGGATTTGGGACATGCACACACATGCCTCCCAGCTGTTTTCAAGTCTCTGGGGTCAGGATTCAGACCACAGCCATATAGGAACCTGTTTTCCCTTAACCACTAAGCTATGAGCTGACCCCAGAATCAAATTCTAACTTACTGCTAAATACCAATTACCTACCTCAAACAAATGACTGAGTGGAACATTTTTGCATCTCTTAATTGGCCTGTCATGATTATGATTATCACAGTTTTTTTTAGAAGAATTATTTATTTAATATTATTATTTTAAATTTTGCTATAGGGCAGGTATGTTCACCAAAGAGAGAGAGAAAGTGAGAAAGCAAGCCACCAGGTCCAGGACTTGAACCAGGTTGGTCATGTGGGAGTCCAGTGCGTTAACCACCATGCCACCTGCTGGCCCCTGCTTCTTAGAGTTTTTGCAAACTCTTCTATGCTGTATTCTTTCAGTGCTACATGTTCTCCTGAGTGCATCAGACTCGTTTGCTCATTTGTTGCTTTGTAAGCACATCTTACTTGGACGTGGCTCTGCATGAATATCATAAGCTCCTCAAGGACAGAGCCATTAACCTTGCTATGTGATGTCCCCTTCGATAATAACAGCCACCACTTACCGAGCAATTGCTGTGTGCTAAGTACTGCTCCTAGTGCTTTGCAAATGCTGTTATTACGCCATGTCAGATATGAGGAACTGAGGCTCAGAGGGGTAAAGAAATCTTCCCTAGCACACTCAGCTGGAAAAGGCAAAACCTGGACTTAAATCCTAGTTTGTCCACCTGAGGTTGACATCCCGACAATGTTATGTGCTCAAGCTCCTTATGTGATTCTCTGAGCACCTCTGAAGGTAATTTGGACAGCATTGCACATCTGTAGTTCCTACCAGAGCTTTAGACATGGCCGCCTGTTTCTCCACCTTCGTGGCTCCTTTTCCTTTCCACACATAGATCTTGGCTCCACCTTGGTCCAGGATGTAGCAGTCCTGAGATGGTCAGGGATAAAGTGATTATTGCTGTTCCAGACCAAAAGGAAGGAATTTGCCCAGACTCAACTTCGGCAGCCAGGTCTGACCACCCCCAGCGAAGCCCACCTAAGCTCTACTTACATCATGGCTCAGTAGGTCTTGGACCAGAGGCCTCGTTGCGACCTCCGTGACCGCCAGCTGCCCAGCCGAGTCTGAGACACTGGGGAAGGGGAGAGATTAGCCTGTGTTTTTCTTCTGCAAAGCATTCTTGTAGTCAACCTGATGATCTTCTGGCCTTGTTCAAGTGTGGAGTTTCTGCATAGAGTTAGACTTAAGAGTCATGCCTCAGCGCAGACAGGAATGCACAGCCTGTTCTCTGGAGGAGACTTTTGTGCATCTCTCTCCCTAACATCCCTTCCACATCCCTGAGCATTTTTAGATCAGAGTAAAGGAAAAGTCTCCCCAGAAGGTCAGGAGAGCTGTTAACAAGAACAGAAGATAGCTGCCTCCTGGAGTGGGGGACCTCCCAGCTCCTTCTAGGAGCTGCGTTTGAAAAGGACTAAGAGGGAAGCCAGATGCCTGCCCCCGAAATGAGCCAAGCAGAGTGCCTGGGTTTCAGGGGACACCTGCCCTGACCCCAGCTTCTAGCCAGCGGCTAGGTGTAGCTACTCACTGATACAACATGATATTTGATTTCTGCTGTTGATCTGTGATCTCATCGGGGACTGCAGGCTTGACGATGGAGCGCCGACCAAGGGCATCCTGAAGGACCTTCATCAGCTCTGGGCTGGCCGCCTCCTTGTCTCCCTCGATCACTCCTATCTCAGCACGGCCCCCTCGCTCCCTGTCCCGGATATCCTTTGCCAGAAGCATAGCCTGTCAGAGGAGTCCAAGGAAACACTCAGCTCTCTGGGACTGCTTTCTGCCTGATGGCTTCAGGGAGCAGCCTGGACCCCAGACTCAGGGGTCATTCTGATGCCAAGGAGCCCGGGTGAGTCACAGGCTCACTTTTGGCCTGTCTCTAGGCCAGTCTACTCCAAGGCAGGGGTTCGTTCACCTTGCATCTCGAGGAAGAGCCAGTACGCGAAGAGGGGAAAGGCACCTGAGAGTGTAGAAGCCTCGTGACCAGGCCTCAGGGAGGGGAGAGGGTGCTGAGACTGGGAAGAGCTGTACCTTCAAGCGTTCCCCACTGTTGCTTTCTGAGCCATTCCACTGGATAATGACCTTCCCGAGGTCCAGCAAGAAGACATCTCCTCGGTTAAAACTGTCCCAGCTCATTTCCACCTGCCGATGGGAGGTAACCAGTGTTCAGAGGACTCTTCGGGCCAGGCGGAGAAGCCCTGTGCCTGGGACCTACCTCGGTGGCCCTGACGTTTCTCTTCCCCTTCACGTGGAGCAGCCGCTTCACATCGTAGGTGTTGGTCTCCACGTGCTTCATCCCAGAGGCCACACCCCCCTTCTTGTAGCTGAGGAGACATCCATTCGGTTATTAACTGAGCACCTGCTGTCTGCTGGCGCTATCTCAGGGGAGACAGTTGTGAATCACCCAGATGTGGCCTCTGCCCATGTGGGTGAAGACAAAATGAGCAAGGTGAATAAATTCAGATGATGGTAGCTACCACCCCACAGGTAGACTTGGTGACTGACTTTACGGAGCGAGATCAGGGCCGTCTTCCCTGAAAAAGTGACACCTGAGCTGACATGCTATGGTAAGAACCAACCAATAACTAGCGGAGTAGTGCGTCAGTCAGAGGAAACGTCAGTGATACGGACCCTGTACCTCCGAAAGGCTTGTTTTGTTCTAGGAACTCTGAATATCCACGTGCAGCACAGAAAGGGGCACAAGCTGGGCAGAGGCAGAAGCATGAAGGACGCCATGGCTGTAAGACCACCCACCCCAGTGTCCTGCACTTTCAGGTCATGCACATGGTAACCCTGGAGCAGCGGGGCTTTGCCTTTGGGTTTCTGTCGGCTCGGTGTGGGGCTCTGGGCCCCAGTCAGTGGAGGCTGCTGACCTGGAAGAAGCTGGCCTTGGCCCAGCCTCAGAACTCTCGCACTCATTGGCGTTTTTCTTTGTTTTTTAACGTTAAGTACAAGATTTTGAGTCACACTCCTCAGTTCATTAAATAATCATCACTGGCTTTTACAAACCTCTCTTATGTTAGGTGTCTATGAATTCCTTTTTGATTGCATGTCCTACTCTCAACATTTGTTCTAGCAGTTAAACATTTTTTTGTGTGTGAGAGGTTTTTGTTCTAGAGTGTGTGCACTCGCTGGAGAAACAGAGAGAGACAGAAAGTGAGAAATCACTCCGCAGGGAGGATGGCCACGCCACAATCCCTTCTCCTCCATTCTCCTCTCGGGATCTTGGGCACGCACGCACATGCGCCCGGTGGGAGTTTAAGCCACCGGGTCCAGGACTTGAACCGTGGTCAACTACATGGGAGTCCAGCAACATAGCCATTACGTCAACTGCTGGTTCCCAGTTTTAACCACTCTCTTATTTTCGTTCTGATGAAGTGTGTCCTGTTTTTGTGTGTGCATGCATTTTATTTTAAACAGAAGTTGATATTTTGTAGGCCAGCCCCAGTCCAGTGGTTAAGGGAGCCAGATCTTACATGGCTGACCTCAGTTCAAGTTCTGGACCAGTGGCCCAGGCATGGCCCACACACGTGTGCCCCAAATCTCGGCAGGATGGAGAAATGGAGAAAGGATTGTAGTATGACTACCCCATTTAGGGGGGTGCTTTTCCCTCTCGGCCTGTCTCTCTGGTGAGTGCATGTGCCCTCTGACAAGAATGTTTTAAAATTGGAACTGTATTTTGTTCTGTATCTCGGCCCATTTCTTTTATTTATTTATTTATTTATTTTGGAGAGGTTTTTGCTATAGGGCGTGTGCGCTTACCAGACAGACAGAGAGAGACAGAGAGAAAGCGAGAAATCACCCCCGCCCCCCCCGGGGAGATGGCCACGCCGCAATCCCTTCTCCTCCATTCTCCTCTCGGGATCTTGGGCATGCACGCACACGCACCCGGCGTGAGTTTTAAGCCACCGGGTCCGGGACGCGAACCACGGTCGACCATGTGGGAGTCCAGTGACATAGCCATTACGCTAACTGCTGGTCCCTCAGCCCATTTCTTACTGTGCCTATGGAGCAGCACTGTGTTCAAAGATCTGGCCGTGTCAGGTGTGCATCTACTCTAGAGCTTCTGCCAGGTGTAGGGCAACTTGGCGTGCACTGACTCTTCCTGTGACGGACATCTCTGTGGCCTGCAGCTTCCTACACCACATGACGCTGCTATGAGTATTCTGTTTCTTGTGCCCTGTGGACCCGGGAACGTGAGGATTCCTGACTTGTACACTCAGGAGCGAGATTTCCCCGAGCAGCACTGACTGCCCTTCAGAGTGCTGTGCTAACCAATGCCCACCAGAGGGCACGAGGCTCCCGTTTCCCCACAGCCTTGCTGACACTTGGCACCACCCGGCTCTCTAATTGTGCTACTCCAATGGGTGGAAGTGATAGCTTTGTTCTGAGTTGCATTTCTCTGCTTACTTTTTTCCTACGTCTCTTGGCCCTTTGGGCTTCCTCTTTTGCAAGCTGCCATTTCTGTCCTTCCTTTGGGTGTCAGTACTCACATGATGCCCTGCTTGAAGTAGCCCCGGAAGGTGTCGGACTCGTGGTACTGGACCTCTCGGTGCTGCACGGGGCTGCCTCCCAGGTAGTCGTCCAGCTGTGTGGTGTAGATGGCCGCACAGCTCTGCTCATCCTGGGAGGAGTCCTTCCCAATCCAGAAGTGGATGTCCTGGGAGAGGAGTCCGCCCACTCGCCGTGTCTGGGATGCAGCAGAAAGACCACGGGCTGGCTCACCTCCCTTATGCTGATGCCTCTCTGGCGTGGGAAGAGCACAGCACAGAGTAGCCTGTGCCCTGCCTTTGGCAGGTCAGGGTCCCCCTTTCTCCCGACAGTGGGTACTGGGGCCGCTCTGGTCCCTATGCAGACTTGCTGCCATGGCTCAAGTTTTGGTGACCCAAATTTTTAGGGAAAGTTGACAGCTTATTGTTCCATAACAAATGGAGACCAACGTGGGTCACTTCCCAGATATTGTGGACTTATGGTATAGGTCCCTTTGTCCCCTGCCTCACACAGCGGACAGTGCTGATCTGTTCATCCGTGTGGCTCTGCTGGCTCCGTTCATGTGGGAGACTGTTTCCTCTGCTCCGATGAGCTCTCTGAGGCCAAGGACAGGCCTCCCTCCACACTACTTGAGTGTGGGGCCTGGCCTCAGAAGGGAGAAGTGCTGCTTATGGGTGGCTTGCTGAGTGAGGTTCAGACTGAGCCCCCCACACCACCCTCTGATGTAAAATGAAAAACAGGCCTAAGGTTAGTCTAACTGGAGGCCTGCTCTGCACTGCACTAAGGAAGAACTGAGACAGGGGCCAGGCCCTGATTACTGTCCCCAAACCAGCAGATCTCAGTGAGCCGGAGAACCAGCTCGCAGGGAAGAACTCGTGGGCATGGGGAGGGTGGTGCTCACCGAGAGGATGATGTAGCAGTCACCTTCATAGAAGTTGCCATGGGCACTCAGGGGCACCAGTGCCAGCTCCATTTTCTGGAAGGACGGGGTGCCAATAGACACATTTCTCTCACCTCCCTCCCTCCCTCCCTCCCCTCTGTCGCTTAGCACGGGTAGTGGGGAGAGGTAGGGGAGAAGTCCCCATTGACCTTACAAGGGTGAGGCAGCCAGCCACAGGATCCGAGTGGCCATCCCTCTGCCTCTGTGACCTCTGCTGGCATCACCCTGGATCCAACTCTGGGTCCCTGGCCTGGTCTCCCTTGTCCTATCCTCTGCCCTACTTCCTGCTCGTTCTTACTTCATGATACTTGGGGAGGCCTGTGAGCTGCCCCTTGCAGGGAAGAGAGTTGGATAGAAACTGTCAAGTACAAGCCCTCTGAGTGGCACTCCGATCCCAACTCACCACGAAGTGCTGGCCGAGGCCCTTGTAGGAAAGGAGCTGGGATTCTGTGGGCTGAGGGAGGCCAGGAGGGCAAGGATGTCTGGAGAGTGCCATGCAGCCGTGTGCAGGGCTCCCTGCCCAGTGTCCTGTATTTGGAGTCTGGGTCAGGGCCCTGATCTGTCACTGCGTGTATGACTTGTCACAGGAAGGTCACTCACACGGCCTCAGATGTCAGTGTCCACCCCTCTCTCCAAGTGAGAAATGGGCAGCCACACTCATGTGCTCTGTGCTAAATTACCACAATTTCTGCAACTCTGCTTAGTTCCTGTTAGTTTTTTAAAAGATTATTTTATTTAACTTTGTTTATTTACTTATTTATGTTTAAAATTTGACCAGAGAGGAACAGAGCAAGAGACAGGGGGCAAGTGAGAAAGCAAGCCGCTAGGTCCAGGACTCGAACCGCAGTCGGCCATGTGGGAGTCCAGCGCCCTTAAGCACCACGCCACCTGCCAGTTCCTATTAGTTTTTAAATAAACTGTGAGCCTTAAAATAGTGGGAGTGACCTAGCCCTCTTATATGCTCTGAGGAGCTTGCTAGAGAGCCATGACTCTGCCTTCCTGAGGACAATGAAACGAGGAACCACCTCTGGGTCTTATGCAGCAACAACCGATTGGGCTAAGAGCAGGATCTTATATGCTCTGAGGAGCTTGCTAGAGAGCATGCAACAACAACCGATTGGGCTAAGAGCAGGGTGGCTGGGGTCAGCCAGGTGGAGCTACCCAGGCCAGGCGGTTCCGAACTGCAGACTGCTAGACCTTGGAGTCACCCTAGGGGCTCAAGACCAGGCAGAGAGGGGGCGAGCAGTGCCCCTCTACCTCTCCCCATGCTGTGCAGGGACTGGAGTGCCCTGTGGAAGAAAGGTTCCACTCTTGACGGAGTCTCCTAGGTGGGTCCCGCCCAGCTCTCCAGGGTGTTCACTGGCAGAGCAGACTCATGGAGCAGATGGCTGGATAAAAGACAGGCTTATTTTTGCTTGGAGCCCTGCTCTCCACGACTAATGAACATTTCTTCCACCTGCCACCCATAAGCTTCAAGTACCCGGGAGGGACAAGGATGGGAAAATGTGAACTTTCACGCTGTCCCTTGCTGTTTTCAGACCCAGGCTAAGGAGCGCCAGGCAGCCAGGCTCTGCCCCGGATCCCCATGGTCGGGGAAGGCGTGCCGCAGCCCAGCTCACCTCTATTCTCCAGGTGATGATCCCCGGGTCGTTGCCCACAGCCCTGAAGGCGCTGCTCAGAGACATGGTGCTTGTCTTCCCAGGACTGAAACGTCAGAGCAGGAGAGATGATGCCTCTCATGGTGGACATCAGCCCCTCTTTTCTCCTGCCACTCCCGGCCCGCCAGCCATGCAGTGGTGCGTGCCTACACCATCTCACAACGGAGGGGAGATGACTAGTTCAAGGTCACATGGTGAGACCGGCTGGCCTGGGGACCTTCGCCTGCAAGCTCTGCGCCCCACCTGCCACTTGCCATCACCAGCCACAGTTCTTTACTAATGGGGTAGTGGATGCGTTAAGCCCAGTGTGGATGCACTTTGCACGTGTCCTCGCGTTTAATTCTCCGGGTAAGCGTGTCGTCCTCACCTACACCGTAGTGAAGTTGAGGTTTAGAGGTTATGTAACTTGCCCAGAATGAAATCCCATCTGACCCTAAAACCTGGGCTTTTACCCACTTTGATGGATTGCGACCGCTTCTACACCGAGACTCAGTGGCACGTGGGAGAAGAGCTGGTCAGAAGAAAGGATTCTAAAGCTGAGTTGATCTCTCTCTCTCATTCCCTCACTCTTCCCAGATTCCCAGTTTGGGAGGTCCTGTCCACACTCAACTCTGACCTTCTGGCTTTCCCTTTTTTTCCTTTTTTAACTCAACCCTTCCTGCTTTTGTGATCTAACACATTCCCTGTGCCTCACAGAAGGAAAGGGAGAGTAAAATGGCAGGGCTGGGCCTGACAGAGTTCAGGGTGCCAGCAGGGGAGGATGGGTGTGGCCTGTCTCTGCGGGCAGATGGCTTCCTTGTCCGCTCCCACACAGATCCCAGAGAGCGGTGCTGTGTCCCACCGCGGAGGCATTTTTCTCAGGGAAGAGTTGGCCTCAGAGAACTTAGAGGTCTGCAGCTCCTTCAGGTGGGGAGAGGGAGGAAGTGGTGGAGTCCATGTGGATCGAGCACCGTGTGTATTCAGGGCGTGTCTGGGTTATTACGCGTGTCCAAGGTCACGCAGATGCTTTATATCATTAACATTGCTGGCTGGTGCCTGCTTTCAAGAAGCTTGCAGTCTGATACTGTACATAATAAATGCTAAATTAGTTTTCCCCAAAAGGCAAAAGTTAAAAAATGGGATCAATGATTTTACTTAGGATTAAAACAATTAAAAAATCACCCAGAAAGGATTATATGGAGTTCTATTTGCATGCATACGGTGCTTGGTACGAGGAGCATGTCTGACCCTTCTTTTCTTGGGTCCTTAATGGATGAAGCTGTTTGGGAGACTGTGTGCCTTTATCTAGTATGGACTTTGGCAGAAAAGCAAAAACCAAAAGCAAACTCCCTTTGTCCAGGACTAAAGCAGAGCAATGGCGCGGAGCTGCCAGTGTTTGTGGATTTAATTTGATAACTCAAGCTGCCCCACCCTGTGCTGCTCAGAACTGCCAGGGAACACACGCTCGGGTTTCCTCCAGACCCTACATTTCAGTCATTAAAAGCAGTTAGAGGAAGGGGACAGGGCCAAGGCAGTCATTCCACATAGAGGTGTTAAACCTGGTAAAAGCCAAACCGACTGGTATTCGCTAGGACTGAGTCTCAGCAGTTGAAAGCAAGCCTACTTCCCAGCAGGGATGTAGGAAGGCGCCGCTCAACCAGGGTCCCCAAATGCAGAAGAGGACATTCTCCAAGAAGTGACTTATCACACTGGAAGACCTAGAAAATGTCATGCCATCTGTAACACCTTAGTCCCCAAGAGCTAGGTTTCTCCCTTGCTCTCCCCCAAGTCCTAAATTATTCAATATGCTTTGAAAGGATGCAGATGTCCCTGGACTGGGATGTTTGGAAACTCCAGGTTAAAAACCACTGGTCCTTAATTTTCCATCCTTTGAATGGACTTCCAGCAGAGGAAGCTGGTTTTCACTTCTGCCTTGCTTCATACCATCTTTCTCTAAGTAGAGAAAAGTGAAGGGGGTCTTCCATCTTTCTCAGCATTTGAAAACATGCCCTATTAGTTCAGCAGACGTTTGCAAAAGTGGTCACAAACTCCTGGTCCAACCCTTTAAAAGCCCCACCCCAGAAGACAAAACCAAGGGAATTTCCATCTTGTTTCTTCCTTGGTCAGTAGAATTGTTCAACTGACATGCACCCATAAGCCAAATAACTAGCTTACCTTGCCTTCTGGCTCCGTCTTCCTGGTTTTCTGGCGAGTACACAGCAGCTGTACTGAGGAACTACCCCAAAGCAGGAGGCTTCAGGTCCTGCTGCCTCAGTTTAGTAATGCTGTGCAGACACTGGGTTATATTTGCTTGTGTTTGCATCTTAACCGCATTTCCCTAGTCCTGGCCAATCACAGCCAACCGAGCCCTGGGCTTGACTTATTCAAACAAGAGGGAAAGCTTTATCTATTCCTATTCAAAACAGCAAAAACAAAAAGAGAGGACTTTTAAAGGCTTCTTTTAACTCCAGCTCCACGCCCAGTCTAATTGATTTTTTGAAAGTGCACTGCCCATCAATAATGCAGGAGAGAGGGTGGGAGGATGCGAAATTTGCCATATTGTAGATATGGATGCATTATGCTGATGACAGAGGGCAGGGGCTGGAGCTGCCCGCTGAGTGCCTGGATGTCCAGACCAGCAAAAGCCTCCCAGGGAAGCTTCTGGTCATGTCTCAGAGGGACAGGAAGACTGGGAAGGGCCCAGTGTTATTAGATCACACTACTTTACTCTTTGGGTCTCCACTAGTCATCCATCAGTCTAATTGATATTCGAGGGCCTACTGTGTGCTAGGAGCCACTCGGCTCTCAATTTCAGAGTTCCTGGTTTGGGAAAACCAGAGAGGAGCACAGAAGAATCAAGGTTCCAATTCCCTCAGGGTTTCTGGTTCCCACCCAGGAGTAACACCAAGCCTATGCTTGTGAAGCACCTGTGTGATGTCGGTTCCCAATGGGGCCCAGGTAAGGGCCAGTGTGGAAGCCCAGTGTAGCCGCCTGCGGTGCCTCCCAGCTGAGATGGTGGCTTCCTCATGAACAAAAGGTGAGTTTCAGGGGAAGATGGGGGTTCCCCAAAGTAGCTAAATGAACACTGGTAGTCAGAAAGCAGCTCTCATTTCTGGCCAGGTTTTTTAAACCCACTTTTATTAATGAATTATAAGTAATACAAATATTCCAAAAATATAAACAGACACTTAATGGCGTCCTACATTTCAAGTTTCTGAATACAAGTTTGTCAAACCATGAATCTGTAAGCAAGGTAGTCAGAATCCCATAGCATAGTCACAGTGGGAGCAGACCCCCTGCCCTCCAATGGCATCTCAGAGGGGGAAAGCAGCACAGGAAGGAAAGGGCCAAATCACAAGCAAAGATGCCCATAGGGCCCAGAGGAGGGTCTGCTCCAGAAACAGGCCCTCCAACACTAAAGGAGTGGGGCAGCTGGACAGACCTCCGACGTCCTCTCCTCTGGTCGAATGCAAGTATTTACTGGCATTAAAAAAGAGAGAGAAAAAGAAAAAATATCCAAAAAAGGGTGACCGAGGGCCCATAGCAGTTAAGGAACCAACGGAAGGCCTGAAGGAGAGAATGGGCTCCTTTCTCCCACACTGGGCCTGCCTGGGGCACCAGATGCAGGACAGCCTTGTGAGGGGATCCCCTATAGGATGAGGCCTCAGAGACAGGGTAGGGGCAGAATAGAACGGGGGCCATTTCCCAGGGAAGGACTGCCCTTAGACTCCCCATGCTTTTATCACAAAGAAGCTACGGGGCCACTGTAGAGAGCTGTTTATACATGGACAAAATGGCCAAAAATCTCTGGGAGGCAGGAGAGCGGAACAGGAGGTCCCAGGGTAACTGAAAGGAAATCCACTCATCCTCTGCAGTAAGAGATCCACAGAGTACCCCCTCTACAATGTGCAGAGTAGAAACCCTTACCGGATCCCTTTCCAAACTGATCCTGTGTCCAAGGCTCCCCCTATGAGAGGGACACAAACATCAGGCTTTTAATTTAGAAGCCCAATCAGAGAGACACGTGTGTCCCCGAAGAGGCACCTTAAAGAACCAAACCTGGCAGGTGGGCAGGTTCCTGGCACGGCCTGAACTGGGGCTGACCAGGCAGGGGCCGACTGCCTCCTGACCGTCTCGGGTGAGAAGAGCAGGTGGGCAGCCCTAGAACAGACCCTGGGATGAACTGGCTCCCTCCGTCTTGCCCTCCTCTGAAATCAATCTGGCCCAGTTCCTCTGAGAAGCAAGTTTTGTAATCATCACTTGCCCCTGCCACACTGAAACTGGAAACCGGACGGCAAATAATGACTTTAGGCTGGCTTTGGTCCACGGGGATGGACCCTATTTAGATTTGGCTGAGTCTCCTGGGAGGGGAGTGGGAATGGCGTTTCTGTGGACAACTGCAGGCGGGCAGGCAGGGTTCTGAAGGCAGTGAGGCCAGGGAGGGGGGCCATGCAGAAGCAGCAGGGACACGCCCACCAAGCCGGCCGGGCTTTGGTCATGGGGCACACTCTAAGCAGCTGGACAAGCCGGATAGGAAAGGGGGTGGCACAGGCTCTTCCACCTGGACAAACATAAATATCCAGAGGGCAGAAAGGGTCCTTGGAGCTCAATCAGCTTAGAGCTTATTGCTTACGTAGTCAGAAAAGCTTGGCTTGGCCCCAGACGGCGATATGGCCAAGGGCTACCCCTTAGGGTAGGGTTGGGGAGAGGGCCCCCTCCTGCAATATTAGGACAGTGGTCTCAGAGTCTGAACTCCCACTTTTCCTCAGTAGGTGGCATTCCT